TCTTGTGGAAAAGCTTGGCTTGTCTATAATATTGAACGTTTGCGTATTTCATGGATATTCCAGGTGGACGTGGGCACCGGATTTAACTTCTGGCTCGAGGTTCAGAGAACTTAAGTGAAGTTCCTTGGAATTTCCACTGTAATGGAAGACCTGAAACGAATAAACATCACTGGAGGAGGAACCCTATAGTTCGTGTAGTCGGGAGTTCCCGCTTGCCGCGAATTGCCGTACAGACCAATTCTTCAACTATGGTTTTGGTCTTCGTAACTGAAATGGTTATTTTTGCTTGTCGTGTAATCATTTCGCAGTGCGTCAACCTAGCGTCTAAGTATTTTTTGAGTTAGGTCTTTTTTTTTGTCCTACACCTTTTAGCATGTCTTGTATATAGGGACTAATGATACTCTAGGCCAGCTAAGGTTTAGCTTTTTGTAAGTTCTCAATAAAGCTATACAGCTCTAGTTATTGAGAAGTCTCTCCTTTTCACTATCGCGTCTAAGAAATTGACAGATAGCCTAAATATGTTGGAAGCTCTCCCACAACAGTACTTTCATCGAATGATATATCGTTCGGAGTTTAATACTATTCATATGGACACTTTTACTTTAAGAATCTTTTGAGCCTTTGAAGTATGGAGGAAAAGCCAACATGCGCGGGCGGCTTTCATATCTTGTGATCAAACGTCCACTTCATTTCTTAATGTATGTTATCGATAACAAAAAGAAACAAAAAACGTCCACTCTGTATTTCTTAGTGGCTTTAGAAATCCATCGCTGGAATCCGTGTAGTCTATTGAGGAATATATTTTGCATGGATAAATTAAAATACATCCTGTTGTTGGCACTGATTTTCGTTCAGTTCATTTTTAAGCTAAATTCTCTCAACGCAACCCAAGCCCACTACCCATAACCTATCAATTAAATTGTGCAATTAGACAAAGGCGAAGTCATTTCATAGTGCAATTAATAACTGTCCGAAAAAAATGTGTTTATGACCATTAAGTGTTTATTTCAAATCACTGCAAAGCAGTTAGTCGGCATCATCATTCTCGCGTAAATTGCTTTTACCCGGAATCTTAGTGTCACTGGAAAAATCTAATCCTAATTACTTACTGCAGAAGAAAAGTGGAAATTAGTTGAAGGGCTTCCACTTCAAAGCTTGAAAATTCAGCAATAGAAAATGCACGAGAGGGATGACCCAAGGATTTTGGGTAAACCTACATTAGGCAGAAAAATAAATGGTCCTCTTTTCCGGACGTGCAAGTTTTTACTGACAAATTTTTTGAAGAAAACGTTGCGCTAGGATATCGTTTGCAAAACAAACTGTGGAGGACACAAAGAAGATATCAAAATTTTTGTCCGATTGAAATCAGTCAAATCGTACTCTAACCTTGAATTACTAACAAATTTATTGACATTTATCTATTATAAATTTATCCATACATGCATAGATGTGGGTAGATATTCTCACTTTTGTCCTGTGATGTAAAAACGGAAAAACTATGGTGCATTCTATTCCTTGCCGAAAAAAATCAGTGTATCAGAAATCGAACGCATGCATTGATTCAGACCAGGTTCTCGTTTGAAACCCGCGTATCCAAAGTGCTGAAAAATATTGTTTTTCAGACTGGGGTGGAAAATGTATTTTTCAGTGAAATAAATAAAGTTTGCTGCGAAAAAAATAAATGAAAAATTGAATTGCATGGCCAGGTTTAAAAAAACATCGCCCTCGAACATCGAACTGACAAAATATATCATATTTCACATTGATGAAGGATAAAAAGAATTTATTAAAAAAGAGCGATTGAGTTTTGCTGTGGAAATATAGTAAAAAATCCTCTATGAATTAAATTTCGTGCGGCGACATAAGTGTTTCATTGCATTTGCGAACATGCTATGTTACTGGATACAAACTGAAAATAGTACTAACTTATATTAACCACGAATAACTAAAGTTAATATAAGAAATTAAAATTGCGGTACAATATAAGCCATTTTTTAAGCATTGACGATATTAGTCTATGGTCTGATGAGTGTCAATTAGATTCAATGCTGATCGGTCTGTAGTCCTAATATAAAATTTAGTTATTTTAAATAAACCACAGCTATTGGTCTATAAAACTAATTTAAAATAGAATTAAGCACTGCGTTCTTCAAAGCAGCCTCGCTAGGAATAACGTATTCGTCGTATTGATGATACATATTCGTGAGTTTTCAACATAGGGTAACATGGGGCAGCGAGCCCACTGCGGGTCACGGGCCCATAGCGGGTTTCTCGCTAAGTATGGCAGATATTGGTCCGTGTTCTCTATTAAACAAAACAAAGAGCCACCTCGTATCAATTAAAACTTCATCAAAAATTTAGTTTAAAAAAAGTGGGGGGCGCGCTGCCCCACGTTACCCTACCATGAAAATTCAACAATAAACATACGTTGGTATAACATACAAATACATCGCGTGTATTTTAAGTAGGGTGTAAATTTTTAATACCATTTTAGAAAGCATTATATCTGTGTACCGTGAGATGGTGCAGATCGATCGAACAGTCATGACAAGGTGACTGTAATCGGGGCTTTGTTCTTTTTTATGAGGATGTAATAGTGATTAAATGTAGACAGAAATGAATATTTATGTCAGTAAATGACAGTTTTTTAGGCGTGCGCACATCATGTTATTTTTTTTTTATTCATTTTATCATATTTTTCATTCTTTTTTATCAAGGATATCTCCAAATTGCACGCTTGTCTCGTTCTCTCATATGCCAAGTTGAGATTGAACCCATTTCGTAATTTGCGCTTAACTTATGAAGTTACATTTAAATAAATTCTTCGTGATGCATGTTTTTAAATTGTATTTAAATTTACTTACATGTTTAACAGTATTTCAAATGAGCTCAGTGAGCTAAGTCTGTATTAAAATGAACGATTATTTTTTCCGTAAAATTAAAGGTATAGGATGGTAATTAAGAGTGATAGGGAATGAAACTTCCGTGTAATTAGGTTCCATATTTTTGCTTTTTCATTTCATTCTAATTTTCAGTGTTAATCAATTTTTCCTCAATATTATGTTTGAACCAAAGACCTGTGTTTTCATAAAGTGAACCAAATCACAAAGTTCTCCACGTTTTAAGAGTTTTTTTACACAAGTATTGCTCAACAATTCGCTTATTTGATTCTATTTTATTAATGAAAAATGGTCCCCGAGTATAAGAAAATATGTGAACTCGTATGGTTTAATATACCCATGTAAAAAATAAAATATATCCCATGTTTGCCTTATGTTTCGAAAATGGGTTTGATTCTCCGACATACAACTGGCGTTCTGAAAGTTATTCATGTTAGCTCGAAATGCCTGAATCCAAAAATGATCGAAGTCGCGAGCCAGTTTTCAGAAGACGGAATAGCAGAAAAATCAACAAGATTTTTTACATTTTTCCTGGAGCGATCGTCCGGAAGTTAGAGTTTGAAATTTATGTGATTGCGCTGTAAAATTATTTGGAAGCTACAGCGTCTTCTCATCCCCATGCAAAAAAAAAACAAATTCAGCCTTGACGGTAGAAATATCATTGCCGAAAAAACAGCTGTTACTTCCATGAATTTTTATTAAATGTATATATATCAAATGCATAAATAAAACTTTTTTCAAAAAATTTTACGGCTGATAGAATCAGACGTTCAAAGAATTATTCTCAAATTAAGTCAGAAGTATATACCACCAAAGGAAATGTTCTGTTTGAATAATCTGATATAAACAAATCGATCACCGACATTTGTTTTTTTAAGTCGGATGCTCGATTAACAAAACACTACACATGCCAAAGCAGCTCTCAGGCCGCTAGACCGAGATCTTGTCACACACACACCGTCTATTATTTCACTTGAACTTGAAGCGCTGGAAAATATTTCCTGTTTTATTTCAATTCTCGGAGGTGCTAAAGTTTCTAATTCAGTTAGTGAAGTGCCTCATCGCCTCTTATTTCACTCCCTCCCCAGGTGCTTGAAGCACTGCAGAATTCACAAGTTTTACTTCATTTCTTTGAGTCATTAAAGTTTATAATTTTATTACTCAAACGCTTTATATATCCGATTGCATCCCATTAGTAAGCTGGTACATTTTCTCACCGGAGATTTACTGATAGCATCTGATTTATTCTTCGGAGACAATTATATTATTTTCACATTATATTATTATTATATCAATATTTTTAAACTATTGCTATTATATTATTGGTGTCATATTATTGCTATTGTAGTTATTATTTTCGCCCAATATTATCCAAGCAACAACGAGGCACATACTTCATATTTTTTAGAGAACTGTGCGTTGTGAAAAAAATTGATTGGACGGTCCATATGCATAATTCCGTTTCATTCAAGTTTTCCTAACTTCTAGTTATAATTTGATATTTTTTTTAACATTATCCCATTTTTCCAGCATTTTGATTTATTTTCGTCTCATCCGTGTTCCGAGTGGCTCAATATTAATTTTTTATTTTTTCTAAAATTTCTTCAAATTTGTTGGAATTACAACTATATGCCGAAAATTGGATAAATAGGAAGACAAATTTACAAGCAATTCTGATCATGTACATTAATTTTAAACCTCTCAGAAAATCTGCACCATTTTCTTATGACTATTATATGATCGTTATAATCTACATTTCCGATAATTTTTTTTTCTGTATGACTTTCTGCCGAATTATGGAATTGATGTTCACTATTAACTATTTTTCTTCCCTAGTCCATACCTTTGTCATTTTAAGAATGAAATAATTAAAGTCAAAACATCAGATCTGCATGATATGATACAACGAATATTCAATTTTTGGCGTTGAAGACGCATTGTTTTTTGCCATTACTGTACTCATAATCTTTCACAATGTCAATTAAAGTTAAAGATGTATTAAGCGGAAAACTGTTTCCCCCAAAGTTTCTACTAGTTAATTTCTTACGGGCGTTTCTTCCACCATAAGTTAAAATTAACAGGATAATGATGAAAATAAAAGTTATTTAACATTTTTTTCTTGAAATTTAGACTTAAGAATTAACCGATCATATTGGTACAGCGATATATTTCTGGTGTTATGAAGCTCTTCCGCTACTGCAAAATGGAAATAGTGACAAATAATTTAACGAGATCGGAGTACACTTGCTACGAATCTTTGTTTACGATAAATTATTTTTTGGAATTATATTACGCTAATTATTATTATATTTTCCTGATCTTGTTTCCGGGCTTCGTATTCGTAATTTGCTCTAATTCTTCTCACTCCTCAACACATTTTTCTTGAATGCAGCGCATGAAGGGCACAATCTGTACATGAACAACGAATGTATGAGTGTGCATTATTTTACATTCGCTTGTATCACTCAACAATAAAAATTAGTAATCGACTTGATATTCGCAATATTATTGTTGAAAATTTATATATTTCAGTTACAAAACCTTTTACCGTATAAGTCATTACTGATGAAAATTGTGGTTGAAAAGAATGATGATAATTAGTTGTAAAAATTAGTGAACAAAATGAACTGTAAAAACGAGTGATGAAAATGGGTTGAGGAAAGGGAGTCCTGAAAGTGTGTTATGGAAATGAGATGAAACGATCAAATTCAGGAAACTTTGTGAATAGAAACTATGTTTTAGGACAACCGGGCGGTAAATCACATTTCATTTTTGTATTGGCTTTAAAAAGTGGAGTTTAATTGCAGATAGAACATAATTATCACTGACCAGTTTGCCCTGCAGAAGGGTAGGTTCACAGACGCTGAGGGCGGCGACGACGGAGCTCTCCATGCGGGTTCCCTGCACGCCCAGCCTCACGCTCTCCATGAAGTAGTCCACCATCAGACCCGTGCTGATGATCTGAAATATTAAAATACTCGTAATAAAATATAATTATTTCAGATCATCATCAGGCGTAATTAAAATACTCGTTATTCGTAATTAAATTGAATTATTTTAATTTTATTGCGAGTATTTCAATTGAATTGTTTTCATTATTTTACGTCATAGACGGATTAATTGCGACAAAAATTCTTTTTATATATTCAACTATTCATCATAAAACTGCAGATGATTTTAGTTTATTATTATTCGTCATAAACGGATTAATTGAGGCATTAATTTTTATTATTTAACTATTCGTAATGAAAATAAATGATTTTATTTTATTGATACACTTCAAAGACGGACTAATTGAAGCATTGATTTTTTCCTCTCCCGTAAAATTGTTGATTTACACGTTGGTGATTTTCAAATTGCTCACACGTTTCCCGTAGATTTTCTCTTGTACTTTGAGGGTTATTTTCACTCAAGTACTCCCAATTGCTGATGAAGTTGTGCAATAAATCAGCAACTGCGACTACATATTATGTTACTGACTAAAATGGGTTATTTTAACTCACCAGGTGAGATTTGGCGGCAAAACATGTCAGTAAGATTTCGGCGTACCTATCTTCTTCAGGACCTGAAACATGTTAGAATTGAACTCATTAGGCAATCGAGAAATTAAATTTAACAGATGCATTACATTTAATTTTCATTTTGATCCAGAGATACTGGACGTTGTTATAACCATAAATGTTCATATAATTCAAACAAACTCATTCGCAAAGCCTTCATTCTGTATTAACGCGGATGATTCGTCATGGAAAAAGATGCCATACATAAACAAAATGTTGAGCGTGACTTTAAAAATAGATTAAGATGAACTTACTATGATTGGTTAAAACTAGATACTGACTTTAGCAGTAATTAAGGCTAAGAACCTGTATATTAAAAATTAAAAAAAAATCCGAGAAGTCATCCCTCTGAAATGGCAGACGCACCAGGATGCAGGCTGAGCATGACAGCTAATAAAAAACCGTAAACTTTAATATTGACCAGAGCTATAAACCTCCAATAAGAAATATTTTTTGAAAATTCAAAAATCAGTCAAATCATCCTAGTGAATTGGTAGACTCGCCATCATACGAACTGAGCACAGAAGCGTGGTATATTACCATAAATAAATAACAGTAAATTGTACTATTAACCAAAGCTATAAACCTCTTATAAGAAAGTGGTGATCTTTTTTTCCAACCTTTAAATGAAAAAGTAGTAAAGTCATTCTAAAGAAGTGGTAGACGTACCAGCATAGGAACTGAGCGCGCAAGCGTGGTATCAACATCAATAAATAACAGTAAACTTGACTATTAACCAAGCTATAAACCTCTTATAAGAAATTTGAGATCTTTTTTTCGAAATTCAAATAACAAATTAGTCAAGTCATCCTAAAGAAGTGGCAGACGTACCGTCATAGGAACTGAGCGCGGCCGCCACCTTCGGCCTTTTCATGCAGCTTGCGGCCATGGACGCGGCGATCTCCTTGTTGAACTCGGGGTCCGGGACGAAGTGCTTACACGACTCGGTGGGGTAACTGAAAAAAAACTCGTTTATGTTTCAAATTACGCACAAAACCGTCCTGTACTATTAGAAAATATGTAGAAATTAGTGAGATTTTGCATATTGCTCAGCTTTCTGAAGAAAAACACATTAGGATTCTGTTTTTATCCCACGTGAATGAACAAACTTTGTTTAAAACAAAGATGGCCGTTAAAAATTTTCTATATTCTTTATCCATAAACTTCAATCCGATAACTGAAATATGACCAATTTTAAAAACTGACATACATATTATTATTGGAATACTTTAATAAATATTTCTTATTATTTTACACACCATTGGATATCAAATTGGATATACTCACGGTGTAACGCGGAACTTTCCATGCACCATCACCACAAGCGTGGCGGCGACCAATAAGACTGTTCTCAGCAACATGGTGGAGTGTCTGTTGATCAAAATAACTGTTAAATATGCTAAAAATAGAACTTGTTGTTAGGGAAAGTCTTCATCAGTGCTAGAAAGAGAAGTGTTCATCAGTGCTAGAAATAATTGCAAGACACTAAAAACCATAAGCTGAAAACACTCACTTAAATATTGTACAAGAAATATAAGTAAACATCGAGTTTTACTATAATTCGTATAAAAACATTAAATAGAGAACAACCTAGTATATTACACCCAAAAAACCTATTGCAGAAATACTCATTTATACGACTCTATAAAAATCTTAAATATAGAACAATCTGGTACATTACATCGAAAAAAACATACAGCGTAAAACATACATTTTTACGACTATATAAAACCTATAACTAGAGAACAAACCTGGTATATAACACAAAAAACACAACAGAGAACTCTCAACAATATGACTCCAGTTCTTATAACCGTTCGTTACAATGTCAGCGTCAGGCAACCGGATTACTTTTATGCACACTAAGAAGTAGACCAGCAGCAAGTGTGGCAGAATTCTGGACGTTAGCGCGACAAAGACTTTCTTTGTGCGCTGGAAATATCCATTGTGCTGTCATTCCTTGTCTACTTTCACTTTTTCGTATTGAGGTCAGGGTGTATATGTGGATATTATTGATTATTTTTTTTAAATCGATGATGGCGCATTTACTTAACAGTAAAATAAATTTTTTGGTGAAAAATATTTATACCGAAACATAATTTAATCAGTTGAACTTGATAAAAAAAGGAAAGCTAACTAACCGGTCCAGTAATAACAAATAATGTCCCATCAAATATTAATCTCGATTGTTTTCATCTTTTTTAAATGAGGTGATGGGTTCAATTTACTCGCTTCAAATTCATCATCCAAAAATGTGTAACATTGGTTCTCTATGAAAAACATGGATCAGGAAATTTTCAGTGCACTGCCAATAACTTTCAACAATTTTTTAACCTGGAGAATTGTCGAGAAACCATGCAAAAATACTAATAATAATATATTGAATATGACATAAAAATTTGCTCAGTTTTCCAAAAACACAACGTTACTTCGAATTTTATTTTTAATTTCACACAGCTACATGTCAGAGAGCCTTAATGTTTGCTGTAATGAACCTCAAATTCGCCACGGCAGTTGAATGGATTTCTTTAAATTCGAAAATAGCCAATCTTTGCTAGCATTTTCATACGGATATTTAATAAGAAAACAAACTCACTTAAAGTAGAAATGCATAATCGCTAGTATTCATGTATACTAGACCGAATTCATATCATATTTTTTTACCCGTATGCTTTTCTGTGGAGCCATGATCAAGTTATGGCGAGCCACTCGTCTATAAGTTGAGCGAGTCACTCATCTATAAATTGGCCGAGCAACTCGTCAATAGATTGGCCGAGTCACACTAGCCATTAATTTGCAGGTAATGGAATTTTTAAAACTTTCAAATTATGTTCGATTTATTTTTGCAGATAATTTTATAGTTGTGTCTGTAACAGCCAAAGTTTGAACTCCAGTCAACTAAAAATTTCAAAATTATAACCAATTGAAAAAATTATCTGAATTGATAATAAATAACGTTTATTCGAAACTCCGTCGTAATAAAATATCGCTGGAAAACTCATACTTAGACTATCAAGCCAAAATAACCTTTATGTCTACCATAGCTTTCGAAAACACTATTTGTAGGAAATTATTTAGATTCTGATCTATATGCATAATTACTTATATTATCAGTCTGCTTATACCGTAAGTTCACAAGGAATTTAAAAGCAAAGAAACGCCAAGAAAATTCGCCATATCGATATTGAAAACGTTTCGGAGTCCAGCTCCATCATCAGTTCGAAAAACTATAAATGAATAAAATCATATAATGAGTCAAAATTCTAAGACAGACATAAAACTTAAACAAGACCTAACATTAGGTCTTGTTTTCATTAGGTCTTGTCCTGTTTTTCGATATAATGTTAGGTCTTGTGTAGGTTTTATGTCTGTCTTAGAATATTGACTTATAATATTATTTTATTCATTTTTAGTTTTAGCTGGACACCGAAACGTTTTCAATATTGATATGGTGAATTTGCTTGGTGTTTTCTTTGTTTATAAATTCCTTATATTCATAATATATCATTATAAATCCAGATTAAAAATTAATAACAGTTCGTTAATACAGCGTGAAATTTATAGTTGGAAATTATTAATAAACCCTGTATTTGTACGTTAAGCATAGCTAGCCTTATTTAATATGTACGTTGAAAGTTAAGAAAGTTTATTTGGTGAAAGTGAGGCGCAGGTGCCACTTCGAGGACCTGAAAATCAGGTCACATGTGTAAAAGACTTTCAATTCTGACTCATACTTTTTGATCGAGTGATGGTAAATTCTTTGAAATTTTCATTCTAAGAACTGTTTGTTCTGTGAGTCACCATTTGACCATATTTCATTTAATTTTATGGTAAATTTTATTAAAGAAAAAGAATGGAGTTTCATGCGCAGTGCAGCGATTAAATTATATATGAAAAAATAGCGAGAAAGTAAAACCTTAAATTATGCACACGCTCGCCAGTAATTTTGTTGTCATCAATTAGTCACAAAATATAAATTCCGTTTCCCGATTATTTGAATTTTTAAATTACTGTACCATGAGAAGTGTTTGATCAGATATGATATATCTTTCTAAAAATAAATATAAAATTGCTATTAAATTATTTCATTGTTTTATGTCATCTTTATAATGATTCTATCTATATTCAATCGTCAGTTATGGAAAGATCGGGTTCCAAAGGCCAAATCCCTTGTGAATCAAGTCACGAAAAGTTCAAGAATCGGCAACAGGCCATGGGCCTATGTCTTCAACGCCGACACTTCTATTCTATTCTATTCTATTCTATATGACTTCTTGTTTAGAAGGAAATGTTTAACTATCGAAAAGATTAGGTTTCCCGTTGCCCAAACATCGATAATAAAAAAAACATTCAACGGAATATGCAACCTATCCTCATTTTCCTTATTTAGTGCCTCTAGGCTTGGGCACTGACCTCAAAAATGTTGATAATCGAAATGATTTCATTTTAACAACAATTAATCTTCATTTATTTAACGTTTGATGCCGGACGTTGAATTTTCATTCCACCATGCTACTCCACATTCACATATCCGGACATGCGCACATAATACGCTTCTCTGGATACGCGGATATAATGAATATCTTCACATCATAAATATCCTTCCTTCATATTCTTCCTTCATAAATAATTTGTTCTAAACTTCAATAATAAATCCTGCACGTCAGAGGTCAACTTGTGATGATTTATGGTGGTTATTAAACGCAAGTCGTTCATTGGTATCTACGCAGCCCAGCAGGAAATTAGGAAAAGTTCTTGTTAGGGGGAAATTCCCAGTTGAATTACGTCTGTCATTGAGACGAAATTAAAAAAAACAGTTACTTAAAAAGTTATCAATACTAATTTTATTTTATAAATGGCTGAACTTATACTCGTGAACTTATAACAGACTTTTTATCGCTTTTAAGTGAATAAATTTCTAGGTTTGGGAGAACTTTCGAGTTGAATTTAAAAAGTTATGAATACTAATTCTAATTAGAAACGGCTGAACTAATATTCGCGAAAATATTACGGACTTTTATCGCTTTAAAATGAATATGTTTCCATTTTTGGAAGAACTTTCAAGTTGAATTTAAAAATTTGTGAATACTAATTCTATTTTAGAAACGGCTGAATTCATACTCGTGAAATTATGAAAGATTTTTTTATTGCTTTAAAATGGAGAAATTTCTTGGTTTGGGAGAATTTTCGAGCAAAATTTTAAAAGTTATGAATGCTAATTCTACTTTAGAAACGGCTGAATTGATACTCGCAAAATTATAGCAGACTTTCTATGGCTTTAAAATGAAAACATTTCCAGGTTTGGGAGAACTTTCGAGATTGAATTTAAAAGTTATGAATACTATTTCTATTTTAGAAACGGCTGAACTGAAACTCGTGAAATTACGGAGTCCGTCATATTTATGGCAACGGATGTTTGCTATATAAAAATTAATTGGTTTCTAGGATACATTTCTTGTGTAATGAAGCCTAATATCATCTATCAATTTATCTATTTCATATTGCAGAAGTCTAAGGTGTCTAAATTTACTATTACTTATAGCAGTAGATAGAAATGCACTTGTAACCCTTCATGAAACGGGTGACAGTAGTTCAGTCATTGCAAAAAAGCTCCAAATTCGTCGTGAAACTGTGTGGAAGGTGGTAAAAAAATTCAAGGAAACTGGTGAAACATGCAATCGACTTGGTCAAGAAAGGAAACGAAGTGTCCGAACAAAACAATTGGTCAAAAACACGAGGGAGAAGTTGAGGAGAAACCCTCGTCGCTCAGCTGCAAAATTGGCTGCAGAAGCAGGAGTCAGTCAGACATCAATGCGTAGAGTCCTCAAAGATGACCTTAAAACCTCCCCTTACAAAATGCAAAAGAGGCATGAACTAACTGACCGTCATGAACGAATGAGGCTCGAAAGATGCCAGCCCATTCTGGGTCTCATTGAGGATGGCACGCTGCCCAACTTGGTGTTCAGTGAAGAGAAAAAATTTGACATTGAACAAAGCGTTAACCGTCAAAATGACAGAGTTTGAAGTCGGGATGGATCTATGGCGACCAGAACAGCAACACGACGTCAAAATCCCATGTCCGTGATGTTTTGGGCCGTGGTAACCACCAATGGGAGTTCCACACTTGTTTTTGTCCCCTCAGGAGTGAAATTGAACAGTCAGCGATACATTTCAGACATTTCGGAAGCTGTGTTGTTACCTTGGGCCAGTAAACACTTCAACGGCTCACCATGGAGTTTTCAACAAGACTCTGCCCCATTACATGGCTCAAACATGACCCAAAACTGGATTCAGGGTCACATCCCAGCGTTCATTAGCAAATATGAATGGCCCTTAAGGAGCCCTGAGTTGAATCCTCTCGACTTCTCTGTGTTGGCTATTTTAGAGAGTAGGGTCTGCAGAACACCTCATGATTATTTGGATAGCTTGAGGTCTAAATTGATAAGAGAATGGGACTTGATCCGTCAAGAAATGCTGTGTGTCTCCTGTGAAGCTTTCCCGTGTAGATTGGAAGCCGTCATTAAAAATAAGGGCGGTCATATTGAATAAATATGTCTGAGAATTGCTTAGGTAATTCTTGGCTACTAGCTAATCTAATAAAAAAAACAATGCACCTGTTTCTTTCATGAGCAATAAAAAAAACATGCGTTGCCATAAATGTGGCGGACACTGTATAACAGACATTTTAGCGCTTTAAAGTGAATAAATTTTTTGGTTTGGAAGCACTTTCGAGCTGAATTAGAAAAATATTAATACTAATTCTATTTTAGAAACGGCGGAACTGTTTCTAGTGAAATTATGACAGACATTTTATCGCTTTTAAGTGAATAAATTTCTTGATACAGAAGAACTTTAGAGTTGAATTTAAAAGTTTATGAATACTAAATCTATTTTAGAAACAGCTGAACTGACACTGGTGAAATTATAAGAGACTCTTTATCGCTTTAAAATGAATAAATTACCAGTTTATGTTGAACTTTTGAATTGAATTAAAAAGTTATGATTACTAATTATAATATTTAAGAAAATGCTGAACTGATATTCGCGAAATTATTGCTGACTTTTTATCGATTTTAAGTGAATAAATTTCTAGGTTTGGGAAGAACTTTCGAGTTGAATTTAAAAAGTTCTAAACACGAATTCTATGTTGTAAACGGCAGAACTGTCACTCGTGAAATTATTACAGTCTTTTTGAAGCTTTAGAAGGAATAAATTCTATGTTTTGGAGAACTTTCGAGGTCAATTTGACGATTTATCAATACTAATAACTGACTCTCGCGAAATTTTTACAGAATTTTGCCGTTGTTACTTAAATGCCTTTCTTGGGTTAGGGAGGAATTTAGTACTTAAGTACCAGAAGTACTGAAATTAAATTGAATTATGAAACGATTTGACTCTCGCGAAATTCTTTCAGAATTTTGCCCATGCCATTTGTCAGGTTTTCAGAGTTATAGAAATGAAAATGAAATAACCAACGCATATTATAATGCTAGCCTTCGCTGGAAAATTATTTCATTTTTATATGGTATATCTTCAGGAGGCATCGGTGTTTTTACACTTTTCATGCATACAATAGTATTAATATCGTAATATTACAATAATAATAATTTATAGTAGAATATATTTCGGAGCGCATTAATTCATTGAAAAGTACTTGAAACCGTCAAAGAAAATTTGTTTAGTAAATAAAAAAAATTTAAATTAGGGGAATTTAAATTCCTATTAATTAGCATTATACTCCACCAGCGTATGATCAAGGCGTTGCTCGGGCTAGGTAGGTTATAAAATTCGGCAAATCTTCAAAATATCAAAATCTTCCAGTTTTCGAAATAGTTTCAAAATGAAAGGATCCAGTTAACTCCAAGAGGCAAGTTAATAAGGCGAACTAGTATCCTAATTATAACATTTGCTTAATTTGCCTGAGTACAACAGATCCAAGAATATACTGCTTAATTCCGTTATTCTAAAATTTGCAAGAAACAATTTTCACTGCACTGCGGTGTTCTATTCTAAAAGTAGTCCACTGAGCAAACGTGGATTGATGTGTAATGGTTTCAATGCAGTCGTTATACTTATGTACCGTTGTACTTTCTATTTTAAAGCTGGATTAAAAAAAGAAGACTTCTTTCTCAGAAACGGGACTTCTTTCTTAAAAACGAGACTTGTGTCCCGTTGTACTTTCGATTTTTAAGCTGGATTAAAAAATAAGACTTTTTCCCAAAAATGGGACTTCTTTCTTAAAAAGGAGACTTTTTTCATAAAAGGAAACTGCTCTAAAAGCCAGAGAAGAACCTTAGTCGCTCGCAACAATTACAGATGCTGTACTTTGTTCCAACATATCTGGCTTAGAGCCGGCCAACCGCCGCCCAGCCATCCTCCTCAGCCTATTACGTAGCCGTCTGAATCGCGCAATGAGAAATAGTGGCATTAAAAACCTCCTGACATCTGGTGACTCGTATTAGGATCTTTTATCAGAAAGTATGTTGAGGTTTTTCTTGTTTTCTTGTACATGAAAAATTATCAGAAAGAAACCTCGACGAGCAAGGGAGATTTTTCAGAGCGCATTCATTTCCGAGCACAGATTTTTTCTGATTAGATATGATGCTTGGCATGGCAACTATGTCATGCTTGTGGACAAATTATTCTCTATTAAACTTAAGAGAAACATAATTTTGTTCTACTGATGATTTTTATAAAAAGAAGCAAATGTGGCGTGGATGAAAATGAACACAGGGACGACGAAACCAATTGTAATTTAGATTGACGAGCCATACAATACCGATAGCCTAAGGAAATTGCATGTATTTTGTTAATATTCAACCAATTCTGGGGATAGAAACTATAGAAGATTACATATGATTGATATCCATATATTCATTTATTAACGGTATTGTTTCATATTATTAACTTAATTGCTTTTCCTTCCTTTATGTTTGCAGTGAATGTAAGATCAGGAATATTACTCGATATTTGGGGTATAAATTAACACCAAGGTATTGGTACCAAACTTTTATTAAAAAACACTCCAATAAAACAGAGGAACTTAAGTTCAACAATAAATATATTATTTAGAAGATGGCATTAAATCGCTCGTGTGAAGTTTTAATCCCCATAATAATGGCTGTAATCTTAAAACTAGATAAATTAGTGCAATAAAATCAATACACAAATTAAAAGTGCATATCATACTTATATTATATTAATTTATTCCATTACACCACGGTTTTTCCTAATTGCTTCAAACGGGCACACGAATTGATATAATTATTGGCTGTTCAACTCACGCCATATCAACTTTGCAACTGTCAAAAATGATACTAATTCTTTAACAAAATTTTGCCGGAAATAACCTGCTATCGAGGACTAATAAATAACAATTAACATTATATATCTCAACCTTAATCTAAATTAACTTTTTACCTAGACTATTTCGACTGAGTTGCAAGGTAGTTCATCGTCGTCAAGTTTGTATCATTTGAAAATTTCAAGTGCTCGTATTCTTTTGTAGTAAAGAATATTAATATGTTAATCAATGTAGGAAAGAAGGCTTTCTGTTCAAGTCTTCTCACTTCTCTTCGCATCTATTCTGCACACAACGCATGAAGGGCACGATCTGGATGATGAAGAAAGATATTTTTAGTATTTTTTCACGAATCAAAGCAGAGTGAAAAATACTTTCAGCACATTTATGCAATTAAATATTTTCTCTGCGAAAACATATTATAGGCTACTACACAAAATCTCTTTTTCACTGGCTACCAACTCATACTGTTATGTGAATAACATTTTTGCAAAACATTTCAATAACTATTTCATATAGACAATATGAAAAATGTATATACTATCATTCGCTTTAGCTACTAGCATGTACTGCAATGTGAATAAAATTTTGCCAAAAATCAGCAAACAAATATTTCACGTGGAAAATATGACAAATTTAAAAATTATCTTTTGCACCGATTACCAGTATGTATTGCAATGTGAATAAATTTCTCTGAAATCTTCCTCAATCAAATATTTCATGTGTAAAAATATGCCAAAAATCTATGAAAGTTTAAAATATTATCTTTTGCACCGACCATGTTGCGCTGAAGGAGGCCAGCATCACAGACGCTGAGGGCGGCGACGACGGAGCTCTCCATGCGGGTTCCCTGCACGCCCAGCCTCACGCTCTCCATGAAGTAGTCCGCCATCAGCCCCGTGCTGATGATCTGAAACAAATTCATTATTGAATTTAATTGAATTCTGTGCACTTACATTTATTTTATTGAATTGAATTGAATTCTGAAATTGTGACTTACACTTACATTTTTTATTTATATTTCACCGATCTAAAAAATTAGTAAATCCAGAAAACCTGGCACATTTACACAAACTGTCTTGACTCACCAATTGACTCAGCGTCAACTATCATGACTCATTAAATGACTCATCATCAACTGCCATGACTCACCAAATGAGCTTCGTCAGCGAAGCAGGTCAAAAGAATCTCAGCGGTCCTGTCCTCTTCTGGGCCTGGCATAAAAAGTTCAAAATGATCAGCGAGAATATCAATAAAACGTTCAAGGTTCAGATTCTAAAATTAATAACACACTTTATTCAAACGGAAACACTTTTGCCCATTTATAGGTTTTAAAGGTTTTTATAGTGTGTTTGAACTGAAGTTGAGTGCATACCATTTTACTTAGGATAAGCAAATTTAACTCATTGAAGCGAATCAAAGCAATTCCGAAAAAGAAGAGAATATATAAGAGGATACTAGACAATCACGATTCTAAATTATAAAACTTAATTTCCATCAGTGTTCGCACATGTGCATATTACGTTGCCGAACCAAAAAGTCACAACAGTCTTGGACGCTGGCATAAGGACTTGGTTCTGACATTTAATTTGCTTCAACTTTAAACGCATTCACGTCCTTCAGCTCTGTATTCTCTGCATTCACATTACTAAAATAATTACAACTGACTGAAACGAAGGCACTTATGCTGCAGCCAACATGTCTAGAATTATCAACACAATATATGCGTTAAGAAACAACATAAAACAACTATACCAGTATCACTGTTAATAACCTTTTAAATATTTCTAGTACGTTTTAAAAAGACGTACTAATAAATATATTTGTTAGTACGTTTAAATATTTGTTAATGATATCGCACCTTGGTAGGAGCTGATGATGGCCGCCACTCGGGGCCGGGCCATGCACCGGTCAAGCGCTGCAGTGACGCTGTCCTTGTTGGGGACGGGCGCCGGGACCAAGTCTCCACACGACTCTACTTCCATCCTGGAGGTTTAAATTTAAATAAATATATTAAAATAAAGTATTATATAATAAATATCAATGTTAGAAATATATTAATATATATAATTACATTAGATATATAAAAAATAAATATCAATTGTCAACAAACAATAATTATTATAATAAATAAATACTTAAAATAAAAATTTCACATAAATACATTTTCATGTTTCATTTAATTTGAGTGGCCAATATTACTGCTTAATACTACTTGTAAATATAACTGTACAGAATGTAATCAAAATTTGTAACTTTACGTAAGTGTGGGTTTCTTTGTATATCATATGAGCCATAAGAATCATTTATACATTGAGTCAGTGAACAGTTTACCCGTTTACAGCTACATGATCCTAAATGTATGTTAAATTTTGATACCAGATATCTTTAAATGTACATAAGAATTATTATTAGGACTTCCTTCTTGCATTCAATTCCACCTACGAGTTGCAACCCCGGCTCTGGATATCGATTTTTCAGGCTAGTAAAGGCAATTTCTAGAATTTCCTGTCGAAGTTCTAGACACATTAAAAATTTTATTGGAATATTAATAATAAATTATTCAGTTTTTAATTAAATTGATAACTTTTTAAAATCTAAAACAATGACTTACGGCACAACTATGAACCTCCCCTGCACTGCCACGACTAGGGATGCACACACGAGAAAAACAGCGCTCAGCATCTTGACGAGTTGACTGTGCAAAGCAATAGATCTATTTAATAAATAAATAGATAGATAAATAGATCTATATAGATCTAGTTAATAAATTAATAATTAACGAGTAAATCATTCAAAATATCATAATTACTGAGTTAATATTAGCTAATAATTAACTAATAACTTATTTTCATTTCAAGCATTGGAAGTAAAAATAAAATATTAAAAAAATTCTCAGGACTTGAAAGTACATTCGCATGTTAGCGAATGGACAGATTTTTTTGACTGACATTCGAAAATATAGTAACAGAGATAGAGAACGCATATGTACTTTCAAGTTATTGTCAGCATTATCGAAAGAATTATATTCAATGCGTAAGGTAATTTCTAAAATAGTTTTATCAAATTTTAAGTAATTATTGTAAAGAAACCAAGAATTTTTTCACAGAAATCATATTTAATTTACATGGCATTTTCTTTAGTTAAAATTTCTCGTTCATTTTTTACACTACTTTCACCTGAAAAAATTAATTCACATGATTGGGCACAGCCTACAAACTTTTTTTCCACGTAACTTCATTCGAACGAATTCGAGCTATTAGTGTAAAAGGAAACTCCAACTTACCAGATTCACAAGAACACTTCAAGTTTAATAGCACTACTTGCTTGTAATTTCAAGTTGTAATGTCCAGAACTGAACTACCCGAAGCCTTTTATGTGTTTGGTTGGCTGGAGCAACAGCAAATGCGTGACTCATTGTCGACAAAGACTTTCTTTGTATGTTGATAACGACAGAATTAGTTCAGGGACTTTCCCTCCTTTCACTTTTACTCCAAAAAATGCACAAAGTCTTGGTTATCGAGTGAGTTAGAATAATGTAAAAAAAATTTGAACTATAATAACATAACTGATTTTAGAGATAATGTTGGGGATTGAATTGACAGAAGAGAACGTAAATATATTCACAGATATTTTATATAAATTTTTCATTGCTTCAGTCTCATATGTTTCATCAGCATTATAAATAAATAAGCCGGCGTTAAGTCTGTCTCTTTCTCGTGTAACAAAATATTAAGCCGATTGTGAGCTTCTCGCTTAATTAATCTGATATGCAACAAAAAATTCCAGCTTCCGTTATGGATGTTTTGAATATGACAGTTTGGGATGTAAGGACTGGCAGATCAAACAGAAAAATAAGTGATAATCAATTGTTAAGCAAAAGAAAATAATTTAAATGTTTTATTTTTATTGAAAAACATGGCAGAGGCCATGGTCCAATCGGCTCCTATGTACAATCAAACAATTTCAATTATGTTAGGTACGCAGTACAAACACATTCATTAGATTTTAGTGCACCGTTAATCGACTTATTAAATGTATAATAATACAAATTCAATTCACTAATAACTACCGGCTTGATGTTTGTCCCGCGGGCCATTGCTAAACGGATCATGGAGGGAAGCTTTGCCGATTGCATTACTCAGCTTCGGATGTCACCCGTACTGTCCGTTATTCCCATTGCATTACTTCTTGTGCTAATAAATGCGTCTAAAATAGTATTAAATTCATATTTAATATGATATCTTCATTTATTGCTGAAATTCCTGTATCGCTTTACAATTTATTCCTCATTTTGCTTGCGAAAAAATGGGATTGGGTGAAAAGAAGAAAGCCTTTTTTCTTGATAATGAAATTTCCGGAGACATGCAGTAATATACTTGTCAGCTTGTTAATGGCGTTTCTTGCACAGAAATTGTAATGTGCTTATTAATGGTATATCTTATACAGAAATTGCATTATGCTTATTAATGGACCATCTTGTTGATAATTTGTGATGCATTTAATTGTAAACTTCGTATGAAGTCCTGAGCAACTCTCATGCTCCACTAGCTCCTGATGAACTTGGACATCGTGGTTGTTCTCATGAAGCTGTCATGATGAGTAATGATCACCTTGACACAATCACACTTCAGTTGAATATTTTCTTGATAATGAAAATTCCGGTTACATGCAGTAATATACTTGTCAGCTTGTTAATGGCGTTTCTTGCACAGAAATTGTGATGTGCTTATTAATTGCATAGCTTTAACAGAAATTGCATTGTGCTTATTAATGGGCCATCTTGTTGATAATTTGTGATGCATTTAATTGTAAACTTCGTATGAAGTCCTGAGCAACTCTCATGCTCCACTAGCTCCTGATGAACTTGGACATCGTGGTTGTTCTCATGAAGCTGTCATGATGAGTAATGATCACCTTGACACAATCACACTTCAGTTGAATATTTTAATTAATTAGAAAAGGAAATTAGCCTTAAATTCTGGGGGCGAAGGATAGATTCATTATCTTTCAATAATTTTGAGATGATGAGTAATGATTACCTAGAAACAATCACACTTCATTTGAATATATAAATAAATTAGAAAAGGGAAATTAGCCTTAAATTGTGGGTGTGAATGATAGATTCGTTATTTTTAAATAATTTTGGGATTGTGGGTGTTGAGGATGGATTCAATCTATTTTAATAATTTAATAGCGACTTAATCTGTTTTATTTACTTATTTCCTAATATTTTATGTTTCATAAATAACATTTAGTACTAAAATCACGTCATATCTTATCTTTTTCTTTATCAGGTCTCAATGGCAATAAATGCATTATGTGCGTTTTGAACTTAGCTTAAACACTTTCATTTTACCACAACTAATATAAGAAAGTATAAACAACCTCCCTAAGTAATAGCTAAAATCTCTTGCTAAAAAATTGTTTCTGAAAAAGCCTCAGGGTGGAGAATTTTTAGCAATCGTGAGAGAAAGATTTGAGGTTTAATAGTTGACAATATTATGTCCATGGAATAATAATTCAGCAAGGTTAAATGCATTATATAATAAGTACGTGGAATGAAATCAATAATTTAATCAGTACGTAGTATGAAATATAAAATTTAATAAGTACGTGGTACATTATTAATAATTTGATAATTACATCTTGTGAAATTTATAATTTAATGAGTAGGTTGCATGAAGACCTAATTTAATAAATAAGTGCTGTGAAATGAATCAAATTATAATACATTATGCATAAAAAATTATATCTTCATCGAAAAAACTTCATTTATGTAGTGAAAGTGAACCGCATTCACCAGTTTCATGTGTGAATGAGGCCACAAGTGTAGACTGACTCATACTCATACGTCTGGCGTCTCTAGTGACTCAACATTCATGCTATATACCGAGCATAGATTTTTACTAACAATACATAGGTTGAACGAACTCTAGTGCCTACGTGTCATTGTCATTGTATTGTATTGTGTCATTGTATTTACTACCGAGCACTGATTTTTATTGTCAATGCGTTCGTTCGAAGAACTCTTGTGTGTACGTGTCATTGTATTTACTACCGAGCACTGATTTTTGCTAACAATACATTAATTGAAAGAACTCTTATGTCTACGTGTCATTGTATTTACGTTCGAGCTCTGTTTTCTATAGAAAATAATTAGGTTAAATAAATTTCATCGTATATGTGTGATGTACCCCTTTTTAGTGTCTCACGACGGACCTCGCTTAAAGGAAGCGTTCATGGTTTCACTTTAATTTTCATATATTGACATTACTGGGATAAGATTTTCTTCTTAAGACATTATTGATAGTCTCGCAAAATTGTAAGAAATTGATCTTAACAACGTAATTGGGTTCAATAATTTGATTGGAGGCCTTTTAATGCGTCCAATCTTGAGATCGGAATCATGCATAAAAAATATTTTGAATAGAACATAATTTTTTAAAGAATTAGAAACAATTTCAAAATTATGGAACTTTGTGCAATAATTTTCCATGAAAGCTTTTAAAATGAATTCAGGAGCATCTCAAGACAATTGACAGTTTTTACTGAATGCAAAAAAAAAACATTTCATGATTTACTAAATAATTTCAAACCTTTTGACGAATTCATAAGGTTTTTTGAGTGATCCATTATTGGGTTAATGAAGTATAGCATTGCGCACGACTGTAGTCGACTTGATTAAAGAGGACACATCCTACACTAATTATAGCATTTCCGAAGCNACTGTAGTCGACTTGATTAAAGAGGACACATCCTACACTAATTATTGCATTTCCGAAGCATTGGCTATTAATGAATCAATTTCTGTTGCCATTTAATTTAAGCTGATAATTAAATGCCCATGCCTGTTAGTTACATGTGCCAGTGTTCGGTTTCACAGATTTTCAGTTTATCATCTTATTTTGATTTATAAATCTAGAAGTATTATTCAATTTCAGTGTTCTGTTTTCCGTACGATATTGCGTAAATATCTGAAGAGAAAGTTTCGTATTGAAATAACTACATCACCGATATGCTTCTTTTGAAATTTTGTTCCTTTTCATTGTTCTGGATCTTTGGTCGTTTATTTTGAAATTGTGTTACTTCGAAAAAAGAATTAAAGAAAATAATTACATCATTTCAAATATTTCCATATGTATTCAAGTCCATCACGAATTCTCCATGAATTGAATTTTATTTCTGAAAATAATTAACGGAGATTTAACGAGCATCAACTCGGCTGTTTAATCCACGAAGCATAATGCGAGGAATAGCTGGGAATAGAATAGAATTTTTTTGTTTCCGCTGAACAAAAAATTTAAAAAGACGAGTTTGCTAAATTCATCACAAACCTTTGCAGGTTATTTAACGCATCAGTCTTCTTGGATGATATTTGATGCCTGCACCCAAATCTCGATGTGATATGATTTACGAGTTATTGGTTCTAAAATTCACGATGCATGATATGATTCACGAATCTTTGTTTCAAAAATTCACGATCCAGGATATGATTAGCTAGTTTTTGGGTAAAAAATTCACGACGCATGATATGATTCACGAGCCTTTTTTCAAAATGTCACGACCCTACAAATGATTCGAGTCTTTGGTTCAAAAATTCAAAGGAAAGAACACTGATGCCAGCACAGCAAGCATCTCGTAGGCTTGTGTTGCAATTTATCACAGCACTTCGCCCGGAGTGTAAAGTCGTCCGCTTAATGCTCCCGAAGTTGTCTTTGGCCTAGAACAACGGCAGCGTATTTTTAAGGCATCAAATTAGACGAATGTTAACACCTGAAAACTTGGAAATGGAATGTCCTGAGATGACAGAAATTCATGGCAAGCCGTTTGGTTGGCAATAGAAGGGTTTCTTGGAATTTAATTGATTATGAAGGCTTTGAGAAAAACAAGAAACGCAAAAAAAAAAGAGAAACATAAAAGAGAACCTGGAATTTCACAAAAGACACACTTTTTGTATTCGGACTTGATGCGGTATGTGATGAATCAAGTGAATTCACTTGATGAATCAAGTGAATGCTGTACAGTTTTGCCATGATAGTTTAACCCAGAAAAGCGTTGGCATTAAGGCGAAAGAGAACTATAATGTGCGCCTATGAGTGGAATTTTATTTGATACTCACAATGAAAAACCGAAAAATTGTTTTAAAATTTTTTTATACTATTCCTCCTTTTTACATAGTTTCTCCTGACAAATTTATCTTTTTACATTGCTATTCCCAAAATATTTAATTTTTCAAATTGTTGTTCCTGACAAATTCCTCAGTAGTTGCAAACCAAAAACAATATAATTGTAATGTTTTCACAATTTTATAGTAAATAAACTATTTATAAACTGTTTTTATGATGAAAAAAAATTAAA